AAAAATATGTTTGCTTTAAATTTGTAGAAAAACATATCGTCACCTGAAACTCAAAAAGACGTAACAAAAATCATTGTTAAAATGCAAAAAGACATAACTAATAAAAAATTCAAAATTTACTTTTTGATTTATATAATGGATTTCAACGAGTTACAACCTCCCACATCATTTTATGAAAAAAATAATGAAAATATTAGTCACGACTTTTTCAATCTCATTTACGATATTGTTACGTCTTTTTGCATTTCAGGTGACGATATGTATTTACTTATTTGGTACTTATTCAATAAGTGTCAGGGTGCCGGTAATGTTGTGGTATGATCCTTCTTTGTTATCTAACTGGTTCTTTAATTGACTTAATGCGCATTTGGCAGCTGTGCACTTCACTGATAGTTACGACCAATACCCCGGAATGAACTACTGTGACCCTTGCACGGCGCCCATCAGCCGTTCGTCGTCATTGAAACGCTTCAAAACGTATTGGAATCGATGTAGTAAAGCAGTAACCGCCAAGCGCCCAGTGAAGACATTCGAATTCAATGATGTATCACCCCCGCAGTTGTATGTGCTAGAAAATTTGTGTTAGCGCTATTAAAAATGCCTGACTAGGCACATAAAACTCCTCTTTGGCATGGTTGTTTTTCGTTGTGATCTTTGTGCTTTCAATGCCGGTATTTAGCCAAATATTCCATGCAATCTACGTACAAGAAATGAATAAGAGATCTAAAAAGGTACTAAACTTCCCGCTAAACACAACTCACCCTGCAAATTCCTCATCTTTGTTTCCGCTGTTTCCTCGTTAGCAAGTGACGCCAATTTGTCTGCATTGTCATGCATAATTTCTTGCAGAGATTTTAGTGCGGCCAGCGAGTCTTCACAATTTTTACTCAAGGCAGCACCATCCACCTTCTCACTGCTTCCCGTACTGGAAAGCGCACGCACATTATCAAGCAACGGAAATAGAACTTGCCAAACGAGCGTCTGTTATGTGGGCTGGTTCAACAAACGACCATGCCAAAAAGAATGCGGCAAAGAGCATTGTGAACCGCACTCGCGGCAGTAACTATGCAATTACCAACTGAAGACACGTAGGTATCAGCGGCTCACTGAAATGGTGAAATATGTATACACATTCCTTTGAAAATAATACCAAACAGAACACGCAATTTTACCTATGGGGATCATTTGCCTTCCAACATTTCTCAGGCAGAGAAGCGAGTATTATGCCAACAGCATTGATGTAGTTTTGTATCTCTTTTTATGGTATCCATGAATAACCCTTCACAACAGCACCGGCACTCACAAATTCAATTGTTGTTTATTGGTTTAAAGCGAAACGCCCGGACAGTGTAAGGGCGCTGTTGGGTTGGTTGTTTTGTAATAGATTTAGGAACATTTTCAGCAATATAGGCTGTATTGATCCGGTCCGCCGGTCAATTCTTGGCACGTTTAATGGCTGCTCATTATCGGTATCATATAAATATGATGCAATGTATGCAAATGCCATTTTTTAACACAATCTTCACAATTTTCTCAATTTAACTTCACAGCAAAATTAGTAAACAACAGCTTAACAAAGAAAAACTAGATGCTGTTAGCTTAACCACAAAAATAATTGTCACCAAACAGCTGACTGCGTTTGTTAACACTAAACAATGACAAATATGGTTAAAGTTGATACACAATCACTTAACCCCAAAAAAAGTTGTTAACTAGAGATAACAACGTGAAATGTGGTTAAAATAAGATTCAGAATCGCACTACTGGTGCACTTTAGCGTGTCCACCGAATATTGACGCAAAATAGTCGAAGGTGGTATCAAACGATGCGTATTACTGTCAGTGTTAAGAAGTGGAAATTGGTTTTGTTAAACCATTCAAAAGTTATTGACAAAAAACTGTTTGGTTCAAGTCAACTTTGTTAATACTGAAATCACATTAATAAATGCACCAAATGAACGCATATTGATATTTAGATGTTCACTATGGTTTACTTTAACTGAATTTGTAACACAAACTCACGAAACTAACCGATTTATTGAAGTATCAAAGCGAAAACTATGTCCGAAAAACTAGCGTCTACTTTATTCTGCTAGTTGTAATTAAAACATGGAGGTGCTTGGTGTTGGCAATTTTTGAAGTGAAACTTCTTAGGCGGCGGTATCGCAAAAATGGAGAGTGAAATTTTTATACCCGAGCGCACTTGTGCACAAAGGTATATTAATTTTGTTCACATAACGGTTGTTTGTAACAGCCAAAACGAATCGAGATAGATATAGACAAATGTATACATAAATGCTCAGAATGAATAGAGAAATCGATTAAGCCATGCCTGTCTGTCCGTCTGTCCGTCCGTCCGTGTACACGATAACTCGAGCAAAAATTGAGATATCTCAACGAAATTTGGTATGTAGGTTTCCGTTAATCCAAGGTAGGTATTGAAAATGGGCGAAATCGGACTGTAACCACGCCCACTTCCCATATAACGGTAGTTTCCAGAAATACGAAAACTGCGATATTTTTAGTAACTACTGAAGATAATTCACTCAAAATTGATATTTACAATAACTTTCAGACGAAAAATAAGAGTATTATAAATTTTTGGAAAATGGGCGTAGCCACGACCACTTATGGTTACATGTGTATATCTTGGTAACCGCTGCACCAATTTCTTCTAAACTTGGCACAGTTGTTGGCCTTGATACAGCATACTAAATGGCCGAAAATTTAAAAAATCGGACAATAACCACGCCCACATCCCATATAAAGGTAATTTTCGGAAATACGAAAACAGCCAAATTTTAGTAACTACTGAAGAGTATTCATTCAAAATTGATATTTACAACAATTTTTAGACGACAAATAAGAATATTATAAATTTTTGGAAAATGGGCGTAGCCACGCCTACTTATGGTTACATGTATATATCTTGGTAACCGCTGCACCAATTTCTTCCAAACTCGGCACAGTTGTTGGCCTTGGTATAACATATGAAATGGCCGAAAATTTAAAAAATCGGACAATAACCACGCCCACATCCCATATAACGGTAATTTAGATAAATACAAAATCTTCGATAAATCAGTATATATTAAAGCTAATTTATTCCAAATTGATGCTTGCAACAATTCTTTACCAGAAATACGTTTATGGTAAAATTTTGGAAAATGGGCGTTGCACCGCCCACTTATGATCACATATATGTATATCAGTAACCGTTCTACCAATTTGTACCAAACGCGGTACGGTTATTGTGCTTGGCACATAAAAGCAAAGTGTTGAAAATTATTGAAATCGGACTAAAATTACGGCCGCTTTTCATATAACGGTGAATTTCAGAAATACTTGAAACTGCAATATTTCTAAATTTAAGGACGCTAATTTACTCAAAATTGATACACCCCGGCTTACAATCTAGCGGTAGCTTTCGTAAAGGTGAAAAAACATATATTTAATACTTGCACCGGGTATTTAATGTTCGGCTCCACCCGAACTTAGACTTTCTTACTTGTTAAAACTGAAAACGTAACATGAGTGAGAACGAAGATATAGGTATTATAGGGAAGGGGAAAAGAAATAAAGCGACACATGACGGGTACGAGTACCTACATATGTGGATATGTATGTTTGAATGCACGTATGTATGTATACATATATAGATGTATACATATATATGTATGTATGAACGAACTCATTCCGCATTTCAGCTCAGCCGCTACCAAGCAATATATGAGTAAATGATGCAAGCTTGCTTCGTGTAACTACATCCATTCGTACATATGTACATATGTTTGTATGGATATATTTATGATGAAGCAAACGGGCTTCGTTGATGTACTGATGGGCATATGTATGTATTCATGGACAGCAATGTTTTCATATGTGTGGATGGTTGTATATATACATATTTGTATGTATGTACATATGTTTGTGTATGTACATATGTTTGTGTACATGTATATACAGGGTGTCCCAGAAGTAACGTGCCAAACTTTATGGCAAGGTAGGTGGGGGGGTGAGCTCACTGATAAACTTTTAACTTTTTGATATTTTCTTCCCCAACTTTGACTATCTCGGGTGAAAAAAAAATGTACTGAGCTATAACTTTACATTACATAAAAAAATTGCTCATTTAATAAAGATTTCAGAAAGGTGCCACACTTACTGTTTTGAATAGAAAAAAAAAAAGTTATAGCCGCTTTTGTGGGTAAAGGACTGAGGCACGCTAGAATGTATTTAATAGATTTAAATTGAATTTGCTCTTGTTACCGTCAAATGACATGCTAAATAGTACAAAGGTACATTATTACCTGCTCTTGACATTATTTTGTGTTACCGTAGGCCTTTCCGCCTGCGCCAAAGACGAGAGGTGTCAAATGGGCACAATCGCGATCAGGATAGACTGGAGACGAGGCCTCGCCAGTTGCCCACTGCCTTTCGCACGGGCCAGCTTATTCGCGAAATACAGATATTAAGGCCAATAACCTCAGTTTGTCCTACGGCCATCGTGAAGATAGAGGCTCGCGGACGACATCACTTGGTACGTGCGTTA